GGGAGTCATGTGAGGCGATGAATGTCAGCGAAGAGGTTATACACTTTTTTTAAACCGGTAAATGAGCGGCAAATAATCACCAGAATTGTTATCATTATCAATATTATTATAATTACATATATATTAACTATACTTCTTTCCACCAAAATTTCAGTTCTATCTGGTTTCATTATTTCTACCATTTCATATATTTACATATTTAAGTGATGGTTACATATTTGTAAAATAACATAAATTATTACACTTTTTAGACCAGTGGAAATTCCATTCTGTGCGGAAAATGTGTTGCTTAGAATAAAGTGAATTGTGGCTTAGGTGGATCATAATGAGTTTTTATGTGTTCTCTGAGAAATTCACCACGAGAGAAGAAGAAGAATTAGACGACAACGAAGTTCCATTACTGAGACGTATGTACTTCACCACCGTTTGTATGTTTCCCTACAATCTATAAATAGTCGTTTAAAGCCTTGTACTATTTGAAAAATGTCTGACGAACTGGTGTGACATTTCAACAAATTGATGACTGATTTCGATTATGAGCTGACATTAGTTAAGGAATAAATGGAAAACCAGTACTTCCTGATACATTAACTGATGTCAGCTTGTTTACAGACCTGTGACCCAGCGAATCCTAGTAAGCCGAAACTTGAAAATAGGTTTCTGCCTAAAATCCATGATGTTTAATTCAATAAATCAATTAGTAATGATTCCATCCATCGCCCACCTACCCCTATCTCTGTCTCTCTACCTAACTATTCAATGTTTGCTTACTGTCAGACTAATCTGGTGTTTTAAATATACTCTTTTCTGAGTAAGACTATGGTTGGTCCGCAACTGTTCTTACAGAATTACATCTACTTTTATCGAATTTTGTGGCTTGGCATACTCATTTTACAGGATCCCATCATGAGCTGACACTGGTGGCAGAACTATTGAGAAACCCAACTGGGGAGCACTCGATGGCCATTCCTGTCGCCCTTGTCTGGAACACTTCATCAATCCTCACCGACCGGCAAGGTTTTAACCCCTTGTGGTGGGGAGTACTACTGAAGGGGGACAAGACAGCTGTCTGGTACTCTCAGGTGGTTTCCCAACGGTTCTATGGCTAATATCAGATCATCATGAAAGCTTGTAATCAATCAAATCCCTGTTAAACCAGCACTTGAACACTTAATATATGTGTAAAACTTGGGCACTGTGGTAGTAAGTAATTCCATTTTAGTTTGTTTATTTGATGTATCACACAGTAACAGAATTACTTACTGGATGAGACAGTGTCCAACAAAATTTTATTGTTCATAATCATTTCCATTATAAACACACGACTTCAAAACTTGAGTTTTATAGTTTCCTTTGTTCTCTCCTATTTGTCGTTGGGGTAGTAGAACTTTCCAGATTTCTGGCTGGACAAGTGTTGAATCATTCCTATTATTACCTATCTGCAGTTGATTCGATAAACAAAGCTTCTGTTATCGATCTCTCCCTCGCTACACCCTGTGATATTAGATTTTAAAACTGTCATCCTATCCCATCCTATTTGATGGCTGTGTGTAACTGTATGTAATGCTATAGCTGAACTATTCTCTAGATTTCTTATCTTATTTAGGTCAACCAATCTACATTTTGCTAGGTTTTTATGTTCGGCTAGTCTGACTGCCCCTGTTCTACTACTTTGACCTATGTATTTGACCTGACAATCATTCCAGCAGGGGATTAGATAAACTAAATTGTTTTGTTTTAAAGGCTCCACAGGATTGATCCTTTAACCGACAAGGCTTGTTTCTAATTGAGTTTGAGGGTTTGAATGCCACTTTTATTCCTGCCTTGTTAAGAATTCTTCGTAAGGTCTCCGAGGTTCCCTGCTTGTATGAAACTACTACTGATGATTTAGATTTCTTATTGTTGATGTTGTCATTAATATTATTATTATCACTAATATTATTATCATTATTGTTATCATTTTTATTATTATCACTGTCGCTACTATCATGATTTATTTTATTTTAACAATTTCCCTACACACTTTCTGACTAATTTATCAGGGTAATTATTAAGTTTCAAAGCTTCTCTTATATGCTTCACTTCCTGTCTTAGATTTTCCTTGGTACTGCTTTGTTTTTGTGCCCTATTGTCACTTAAACATTTCACCAATCTTATTTGGATTGACATAGGATGGGGTGATGGGAAGTTCAAATATCTGTTTGAATGTGTGGGTTTCCTCTAAACACTAGTGTTTGACTTTCCATCTTCTTTTCTTTTTACGCTACAGTCTAACATTGGGAGCACCCCTTCCTGACTTTCCCATTCATAAGTGAATTGATGAATTGTCTCCTCCTTTGAGTTAATGTGTTTGAAAAATCTATCTATATCTTGTGTTCTAAGTACAGTGAATGTGTCATCTACATACCTCCAACATATTTCTGAGGCGGCGCTGAACGTTTAAATCGCTATCTTTTCCCACCTATCCATGAATATATCTGCTACACTTGTGGATATTGGTGAATCCATGGAAACTTCCTCAGTTTGTTTGCATGTTTTTCCTTGGAATTTAAATACTGTGGAAGTTAGGTATAACTGCACTCCTAGCATTATGTCCTCAAGTGGCAATTTTGTCCTGAGTTCGAGTTATTGGTCAGAAATGAGTTCGTTTCTGATTGCTTCTATAACCATATTTATTGGTATACGTGTATATAAACTGACAATGTCAAAACTAACCATTTTTGCTTTTCTATCTAATTTTAAATTATTTAATCTGTGTTTTAGTTCATAAGAATTAATTAGTCTAGATTTTGAGTGACTTTTAAGGGGATTTATTACCATGGCTAAATATTTAGATAATTCATAAGTAGGTGAATTCCTAAAATCAGCTATAGATCTGTCTAATAGGGTATCCTGACTTATGAACTTTTACGACACCATACACCCTACTGGGATGATTAGTTTTGGACACTCACTCACACAGTTGAACACTCATTTTAGTTATAAAATAATCATTAGAAATTGATTTTTTACGGATTACACCAGTGTTTCAGAAGTTCCTATAGGTGTCTAACTGTTTGTTGCAGGAGAGGCGAACGCGCGACAGTACGCTCACACACACATACGCATACCGTTTTCCACCTAAATTACAGATTTGCACCTTTTTCCTATTTATCCTCATGTTAACATCTTTTTATGACCTAATACTATCTAAATATTTATCTTTTTTGTTTCGTAAAACTGGCTTGAAAGGTCCACACTTAGATGTATGATAACTGACAAAAGATTTAGTGTGCGGTAAACAGAGTTCTGGAAATTTCGTTGGAACAAAATGAGACATTAAGCTAAAAAAATTTACTTTTACAATGCTGAAGAAAGTACTATAATTACCTTTAGGTGCGTAAAGTAGTGCAATTATAGAATGCTTGCTCGACAGGAGCCTTTACTGTCTGCTTTCGACTCCCGATTGACGATGTGACTCCTGACCCTCATATCTAGTTTACTAGCTGGTAGCCAGTCCGGGAAAAGTCGAATGGTTGGGCAGGTGAGGCCAGCAACCTCACCTTCTTGTGAAGCTGGCATCAAGTTATGCTTTTCACACAACCTCTGGTAGACGTTTAACGTCAATCCACCCGAAGTCTTTTGGTTGGCCACAACTGCTTGCCAGCGTTGTAGTATTTCACTTTCATTTTTAAAACTAAACTTATCGTTAAACAATAAACTGATCTCAGCAATAGTAGTTGTTCAGGTGTTTCAGGTGTTTCCTACTAACTTTTGCAAATCTGGTCTTTCTTTCTCTATCAAAATGTTTACATTTCTTCACCAGCCCTGAGAGTGTTGTTATCTTATTATATAACTGTTAGTTCAAGCAACTGATAATGTTCGTTATGATCATATGAGACCTTTTGTGTGTGTGTCTGGGGAGGGTTTGTCGCTGGTTCAGTAGAAGGATTTCCGCTCGATTCCCAGGCGACATTCACTTTCACCTCGCTTAGCTCGTTGTTACCCCCAATATAAACAGATGGTTGGATATGAGGTCAGCAAGCCACCCCGTAAATTTTAAGCACTGCTGCTAGTGAAACTTCAGAGATCAAGCTTTGAGGTCTACGTACATCTAAAAATGTATAAGAAAGAAAGAAGGAAAATGTGGGCAGCTGTGATTTCTGTTTTTCTTCTTGGCACTAAAGAGCTGTTTACCACCTAGTAAGCTTTGTAGGGAGAGATCTCGTTATCAGTGCGTCGGTGGCACAGTGGTTAGGACTCTCGCCGACCATGCGCATGGTCCAAGGTTCGATCCCCTGCCAACGCACACCTGATATCTATGGTCGGCCTGCAGAATTCGGGCCACCAATATCCATGCTGAAAATTCCATACTTGTACCAAAAATACAGTGTGGAATCAAGCTGTAAAGAAACAAAAGAATCAGAGATTTGTTTCGCAATCTCGCTTACTGTTTCTATGGAGATACTTTCTGTACAACTCTATACAAATCAAATACTTCAATAACCATTTTGTTCTTCCAAGTGGGAAAACATAGGCAGAGCTTCAGATTTGAACTGTGAAGCCCCCCACAGTAGCGAGGAGGTTGCCAACCCCACGCCCAAGCCCCCCGCCCCTCTTCATCACTGAGCTCACCAGCGAGAAGAAGCGGAAATCGAAACCTGGACTCCCGAGGATTCAGGAGATCTCTAAGGTTATATATATGCTAGGTATTCCCACCGCCATTTTATCCTACACACAGTCTAAAATTAACAGTAATATGGACAGATTAAATGCGTCTTTTTTGTGTTACCAGAGAGAACTGAGCCATTTTTTTTAAAGGTCACTAATTCGCTAGACAGTAGAGGTTGTCAACCCCTGAGGAAAACGCATGACTGTTTGTGTTGTCTATTTTGCTAGGAAAATAAAACATTTCAGTTTCACCTGCCGGTTTTTCTCTGCATGTTGAATATATATATATACATATATATATATATAAATGTTTATACACACGCACACACTTCTCATTCATAACAATTCAGGCGCAGTTTTTCTTCAAGAAAATGCAATCACCAAGTCGACGAAAACAAAATGCATAAATTCACATGAGCTCATTTCGTTTAATGAAAATGTCAACAAAGCTAAAGAGGTGTTATATTTAACACACAATAGTAACCATAAATTGAGTGATAATAGTAATAATAATGATGATAAAAATGGAGACAACAGACTGATTGATACTCAGCACACAACATTTACTCGTCTGTCAAAGTTACCATTAGAAGTAAAACGGAGTAAAAGACAGTCTGTTTGTTCAGAGTGTAGACAGAAGCATTATGATCAGCAGCGCCAGCGCCAGCGCCAACGCAAACCTCTTTTAAATACACAAAAGTCAGAAAGGCTTATTAAAAACACAAAACGCGCGCTTTTTAACAACACATCATACACCACTTATGAGTATGTACCTTTTATTAAAAGTAAGTTATTTTAAATGTCACTCTCTTTGTTAAAAAACAAAAACTTATATTCGTTATATGCGCTGTGTGTTTTCTTTTTTTCCTGTTTTCTTACGTCGGATGTATTGCAGAATGAATTGCTTTTGAAGCTTTCATTATTACTCCACTAGGTAACATCTTCAGCGCATAATTCGCTTCAGTTTGGATTGAATCTCTCCTAACAGATGGTGACCTTGAATGTGATTGATTGTTTTTGTGTGTTTTCACACCCTCTAGGCTATTACTCGCATTGGTATTGGTGTTGATTGCTCCCCTGACCTGAAGTTTGACCTTTTGTGTTTCAGATTCCCTTTCTTATCAATTGATAAACTTTGTCTACGTCAATGTGTCTGTTAGTTGACGATTCATCACTGGAATATTAGGCTTCTAAAAATTCTCTGTCTGACATCTGAACGCTGTCCCAGTTGATCTGATGTCCGTGGTTGTCTGTATGCAGTGAGGTGATATGAGTCAGGGAGTGGATGTCATGTGTTTTGACGCCAACTTATTATCATGGATACGAAAACGAAGAGAAGGGGGGGGCACACTTTGGCCAGTTTAGTGTTTTTCACAGTTGTTGCGACTAATTTTGTAGATGATGATGTTGGTTTTATCTTCTTTCACTTTTGAGTCTGTCTTTCAGTTGACATAGAGCCAGCTGGGTGAAGTGATTTTGTTAGTGATGCACGCACACATACACACAGAATTGAATTCAACTGTTTTTTTCATGTCATGTTAATCATGAAGTGACGTCACGTTTTTTTTCCTTTTTTGGCGGCGATTTCGCCATGCGCTGAATACCTTATAACTTTTGTTTTCTTTAACAAGAAGAGCATTCATGCGTGACGTTTTCTTTTTCAGTCCGCTCTATGCCTCTATATGAGCTGCATCAGTTTGTCTGTTTATCACGACAAGCGAAGAAATGAATGTCTGTCGCCAATTTATTTCAAGAATTAATTTGTAGGGATTTAATTGGTTCAAAGTATACTCACAGATTGATATCGGTTAGAGAATCCCCTCTTCACTGGTACACAACCATCAGGTTTCGAACCTAGGACTTTTCTGTTCCAAGATAAACCCACTGGAACTTTATCTAGTAGCCGATAAATTCTAACTTCTACCGACAGGCAAAGTTAAACTGTAGCACTGCAAGGGATACGAACGCACGAGTGACCTTCAGCCAACCAATCATAAAAATAATTGGCTTTTACACACACACTCACACGCACAAAGTGACGTTTATTTACACGAAAATGCATGAAAACGCATTAAACAGGGTATATTTCTCTAACATGACTTAAAAGTAGGTCTCTCGGAATTATAATGAGGAGTATTGTAACAACAGAAGGTGAGACAGGGGAGCCAGGATACATTTTTAATTAATCAAACCGCTCTTTATATATCTACGGTTTATATTCTCCAACCAATCACTAAGCATGTGATTTTGGTTTACCTTAAACGACGTGAAATAAAATGTTCAGACATATATAGTATTCTGTCGTTAATGACAAACAGAACTGTGGGAACATATGAGAAGAGCTCTAGCGCGACCACGACTATATTTCTTCTTTATGAGCACTGTTTCGTCGATGTGAACGATCACACCAACTCCTCCCAACACTTGCCTAACATTGATAGACTTCCAGGAGGCTAAATCTCAGCAAAACTGAAACCACTGCACAGTTGACATCAAGCTGTTTTCTGTTTGATCAGCTGTTGATCTCACTTCGAACTTCAGTACTCAGTAGTAGTGACACAGTATATTCGTGGAAGGAAGTTTCAACTTAGCATAGAAAGTTAGCAGAAAACAATGAACTGAGTGTGCAACATACCAGTATAAACACTCATTCGTTTCACACACCCTGAGCATCTTAATATATATCTATCAATAACTTGTGAATACGGTTACAGGTTCATTGAAACACCACAACTACATCTACGACCATGGACAATCAATCCATAATCCAGACAGTAATTGAGAAAAGTGATCCAGATGAAATTTACTCTTTAGTTATTGAACAGAGTTCATATCTGTACTAGAATAATGGCAGGTGTTGTTAGCCAGTGACTAGCATGCGTTCAAGATCACTGGGGCGTTCACACCCCCTTAGACTGTATTCTTTAACTCTGCCCACCAAGCAATGACTTAAAATAATGATGACGAGAAGTTTTCCTCACACCCAAGTTGGTAGGTACCATTAGAACTTCAGAAAACATTTTACTGTGCCCTATCGTCACTAGCAAACATCAGACAAATCTTCAGATGTTAGTTTGCTAAGGGATTCGATTTGTTTGTTTCAACTTTGATTACGTTGTGATATCAGTTAAGGGAAGCAATGAGAGCCAGGAGACAGTATTGGACAGTAGTCTTCATAGACTAGAAGTTGGAATGCATGTACCATTTGATCCGGTACCAGCCGCTGGATGGTATACCAGCTTGCCTAGAAAACAGAAGGTTCTGTATTCAAACCCCCTGTGTGTGGGGGGGTGAGTGCTGCTGCATTGTCTCCAACTAGGATAATAGGAACAACTATCCAGTAAATTCTGGTTGTCCAATACTTTTCTAATTAACATTAATCCCTAATCAACCTTGGATCATTTTCTAGAAATGAAAATGTCTTTGCAATTGAAAGAGAAGTCTAAAGAATGGGATTAAAATAGGCGGCAGACTTTGTTGACTGTAAAACCCAAAGAAATCGATTATACTGAAATAATAATAATAATAATCATGTGAATACGGAAAAATTCTCTTCAACTGCATGTATCCTAAGTAAATCGATGGGACACTTTAATGGACACTAGTAACTAGTGTGGTGTGTCTAGTCATTTCATTGGTGTAAACTGAATTCTATCAGTCAGTTAGGTTTGCAATGTGGCCACCATGCTACTAGGCAGCTTACCATCACGGTGCATTTTAAATTGTTGATGTTAGATGGTTGAAGGCAATCGATCACTGTTTTCATGCTAGCCGGCACTTACCATCAGTCAACAAGGCGTATCTACAAGAGCACTGAAGCAACAGCTCACGACCCTTCTCAGATTCTTACCTGTATCACCCAGTATTGTAGTCAGAGACGTTACCACTGAACTATTTGGGCTCGCGATTGACCTCCTGTAGGACTTACTGTATTGGATACTTTCATATGTCGAACTAGGTGAATAGCTGTCAAGTAGGTCATTAGGACATGGAACACATCGATAATTAATTTCCACACGAAAATTAATATTCTAGAATACAATTTAGTGACTGCTATGTGCGCATTCGGACTTAATCACACAATGGTAATATAGTTAGCTGGAGATATTCGTTGTGCGTCACAACATGACTAGATACATTCAGCTAAAACGACTGGAGACATCCACAAAAAATTTTTAAAGCCTTTTTCGCTAACTCCCGCTTTCATCAGGTTCCACATTTGTATGACCATTAATAATTGAAGAAATATTATCATTAACAACATCAGTGCTCTCTGAGATCACACTGAATCAATTAATAGTATCGATAGATGTTTACAGTTCACTAAAGCACCCTAAGTAAGAGAGACAAAGTGAGATAATGTGTACCACCATAGCACTAAACTGACTGAACATCAGATCTGACAGATTAAGCGAAGTCACACGCAAAATTTATGAATTTATAGGTCGGACAGTAGGTCAAGAGGGTAGCGATAGTGAGTGCCCTAGTTCATCTGAACGAATCGGAATGACCTCTTCTATTTAGAGTATTCGGTATCTAGAGATCTTTGGTAATTTATTCGATACACAATAGATGATAGTGAAAGATTCTACAATGGTAGCCAGCTATGCGGTCTGTTTGGACATGGTGGTCTTATGTAGTGAAACCGCTGATGCTCTTAACAATACCCTTATTCACCAACACAGTTTAGGCATCTCCGAGAACAAGAAATTAGTTTCCTAGGATGACTGCCAATATAACTAGCTCAGTAGAAGTAAGTGAATGGATAGAGATAACGGCAACAGAAAAGAATAGACACTAAAGTCAAACGACCTTGAAACAATCAATCAGATTCTTTCAGTTAAAAAGTGGTATAAAATTAATTTTAAAAAAACTATATTTACAACATATATGTGTAATAAAAATGAACTATACAGGATAAATGGCTCTAATGTGCTGCGAAATCTGGTCCAAGTTTCTCATAAGAGTGGTTATAGACATATTAAACCAATGCTGATACAAAAACTCATCTAAATGGCTACATACCATATCACTTCGGGAAACATTTACCATTCTGACACGTTTTTGAGGTGAGCCCAAAATCCTTCAATGGAATTTGTATGTGCTCCTTTTACAGGATCTACCAGTTCAGAAGAATGATTGACTTTGTGGTGAATATAGGCTAGTGAGGACAATTAAGAATAACCTCTCCACTTGTCTGTGTGAATAGTAGTTTCTGGGAGGACTAGTCATTGTATAATTGGTATTACCACATGAGCACTTCTGTTCGGGATGCATTACACAAAGCCTTTACCAAGATTTGTATCGTAAAGTCCCAGCACCCAAGCATGATTTTCTCTACTCCTCCCTCGATTCATTTGTCGCTTAGTAAGTACAGCTTCGTCAATATGCGCGACCCCAAGTACAGAGGTGATCCCATTCATCTTTTGTGAGGCAACATCACGGCAGTACTGATACCACTGTTTTGTTGAAATCTTTGTATTCTCCGTTTCTGCAGCTGTAATAGATACTGGTCGCTTTAGTAGCCAGTTGTGGCATATACGCAGTGTTTTACTAAGAGACAATTTCGATTTAGAGAAGAAAATGTCTAAAATGTTACCATAATTCACGAGTTGGAAACTCGCACAGATTTCCTCATCTAACGGTGGTTGCATCTAAATGCGTAGCCGTCAATAGCCCGGCAATACTTTTGTAGAGTCATTATCCTTCCATGTATGCAGGTTTTAGACCTCCCTATCAACCCATTTTCCACACAGAAGTCAAAAACTAAATCTGGGTGAAACTT